GATATACAATCTGGATAAGACAATACCCATGGATCCAGGCCTTCCTTAACCATAATTGGGAAGCAGAGGCTAGAGCAGAAAGAATATCTGCAACTGCATTTCAAAACCTGTTTGATGCAGACTGCAGGAATCAATATTAGAAGTAATTCTTTAAAAATTGCAATACCAACCAACAGCCTTACCTGCTATAGGCTTTCCTTAGTCGTATTTGGGAAGCAGAGGCTAGAGCAGACAGAATATCTGCAACTGCATTTCAAAACCTGTTTGATGCAGTCTGCAGGAATCAATATTAGAAGTAATTCTTTAAAAATTGCAATACCAACCAACAGCCTAACCTGCTATAGGCTTTCCTTAGTCGTATTTGGGAAGCAGAGGCTAGAGCAGACAGAATATCTGCAACTGCATTTCAAAACCTGTTTGATGCAGACTCTGCAGGAACCAATATTAGTAAGCAATCTTATAAATTTACAATTCCAACCATCAGCCTTACCTGATAAAGGCTTTCCTTAGCCGTATTTGGGAAGCAGAGACTGGAGCAGCTGCAACTGCATTTAAAAACCTGTTTGATGCAAACTCTGCAGGAACCAATATTAGGAAACATTTTCTTTAAAATTGCCATTCCAACAGTCAGTTAGCTCAAACCTGTCTTTGTAACTGACAACATAGGACTTGGACTTTAAGACAAAACATAAAATATGCAACCATGTTGTCAAGCACAGGAAAAGTTCTGCCCCAGCTGAAAAACAGGCTGCCTTTTTAGAAACTGATCAGGTTAAATTAATTGGTGGGGAGAATGCTAATTGCAACAGAGCTTTTGTCTATAGCAATTGCTAAAAGCCTACTGCACGATTTAAGAAAAAAAAGATTTTAAATATGAGCCTAAGGATAATATACAGAGGATAATCCTCCAATAGTCATACAGGTCTTGCTCCTGTGAATATATTACACCGGAACACTTTACTTACTGACCCTGTTGCAGCAATTAGTGATATTGAAACCCATATTAACTAATCAATGTGTAGCAGCTATTTTGAGCCAGAAAGGAAACTTAAATTTACCAAATAGAATTATGTAAAAGTATATTCTTATCCAATACCCTTTACTCAAAGAATAATCTATTATGGGCCTGAACTACTAAGTGCTTACACTGTCAAAGCACTGTTTTAATAATTTAGGAATAATCTTTAAGTGATGAGAAGCTAAAAACTCTCCAACTTAGAAACATTTGCGCTTTTTTAGCAGCACAAATAATTAACTTATTCAGGCTAGAGTCATTTAAGATAAAAGCAAAAATGCTTACCTTAAATGTCCTCAGAGTGTGTTGGGGGAAGAGGGGGAGAGGGTAAAAAAAAATAAAAATAAAAAAAAAAACACGATATTGGCGTCTGATTTTTAAATCCCATTACGCACGTCCTGCATTTTGCGATTCCACGGTGGAAATAAACGTAACCTGTACAAGTGTTCCACCGCCAGGACTTCCCAGCTAGTGCCCAAATGCGCACCATCGTCTGTCCGGCACCTGGCTCGGTATAGACTGAAGTAATGCAACCCGGGGAGATACAGCCGTCTGGTGTTTTATCTCTGAAAAATGTATTTAAAAGAAGTAGAGCCTCAGCCCTCTCACCATACTTCTAGGGAGAAAATCTGACACCCTCCTCTGCCGGAGGCAGGCAAAGAACTGGGGATGTCTTGGGTAGGAAGCAATTTATAAGGCCAAAGGTTAATTGGGGGAGGTTCTTGAAATGTTTGGGAGATTGCCTGCCTGCCTTTTCCCTCCAGGTGATGAAATTCCATTTGTAAAGCACTGCCTCTAATCTGAAGGGAAACTTACATATATTTAATCAATATCATTGTATGTATATTTTGATTATATATAATTATGTATATTTAAATTTTTTTTAACACGGTTTTAACTTTAATTTTATTTCCAGACAGCAGGGGGAAGTACCTGTCATTACAGGCACTCCCCCTGCTGGCAATGCCTTGGACCTTGCGATCACATTGCCCAGGGGGGCCGAAGAGGGACTCCCTGGTGAGTCCCCATACCGCGATCGCCAGCAACCAGGTAAGTACATAAGATCGCAGGGCGTTCTATGGCGCCCTGCGGCGTTTAGAGCCATCAAAATAGGGACGGCATAGAACGCACTGCGGTCTTAAGGGGTAAATCGTGCACAATTCTAAGAGCATGCAAAACCCTGCAGTTCAGGCTGCCAAGGCAAGCTGTAGCGATATTGAAAATATTCCTTTAAATTTAAAAAAATAAATAAATATAAAAAAAAAAATAAAAAAAAGAGAAAAACTTTCATTACACAATTCAAGGTATTGCAAGCTTAAAGGACCACTATAGGCACCCAGACCAGTTCAGCTTAATGAAGTGGTCTGGGTGCCTGGTCCAGCTGGGTTAACCCTTTTTTCTATAAACACAGCAGTTTCAGAGAAACTGCTATGTTTATAAATGTGTTAATCCAGCCTCTAGTGGCTGTCTCATTGACAGCCGCTAGAGGGCTTCCGCGCTTTTCACAGTAAGAAGACGCCAGCATCCATAGGAAAGCATTGTGAATGCTTTCCTATGGATGGGCTGAATGCGCGCGCAGCTCCTGCCACGCATGCGCATTCAGCCGAAGAGGAGGAGAGGAGGCTGAGAGCTCCCCGCCCGGCGCTGGAGAAAGAAGCTTAACCCCTTCCTCTCCTCAGAGCCTGGCAGGAGTGGGACTCTGAGGGTG